TTTGTAATGTCGCTTCTTAAAAAATGTAAGGTTATGTTTTTTATAGCTATCTATTTGTATATAACCAAGTTTGGTTTAATGCCAAATATTGTTTGCGTAACTTAACATATTATAATCTGATCGTTCTATATTAAATGATACATTTAATACATTTTTAATAATTACATTTTTAATGATACATTTTTAATAATTTATAATTTCTCTTAAGTTGGAATACAGTGGAAGCTCTATGGTCCACTGGGAGAAGAGGACTGCTGTAAGTAATACAATTTCACACAAAAACAATAGGCTATAGTCTCCAGTAATTTTGAGGACATGTTGACACAATGATTCAGCACATACAGTTTGTAAATGCAACGTCCTCACAAAATATGTATAAATATATTTTGTATTTTAATTATTATAACATCACACAAAATCTATTTTAAAAGATACTCAGTAATTGATTTTTTTTATTTATTTTTTTCATAAAATCGAAACTAATAAAAATTAAATTTCTTTTTAAAAACAAAATTAATCTAAATAAAATCTTATTTCGTGTTAATTTATTCAATAAATATTCTATCAAAAAATTTCATATATTCCCCTTGTTTATTTAATTTTCACATGTATTGGAATAAAATATAGTAGTAGGTTCCTTTCTAGTGGAGCAGAGCACCACAATCATAGTAGCACAATTATAGTTTTGTGCTAATTTTAAAATACATATATAGTAAAATAAAAGTTTTTGGATATCAAAGGCTCTCCATTGTTATGTTTATCTTTATTAAATACTTCCGAACATAAATTTAAGAACAAATCTTTTTTATTCTGTTTTCTAAGTAATTTTAAAAAATTAACGAAATTCTTCTCTTGTTTTTTTTTCTTCATCATGGTCAATTAGCATGAATACTTTATAAAGTAAAAGTGTGATCAATGACCTTCTGGTAGTGCGTACACCTCACAAATTGCACCTTTATTCAATTACATAATATATGTTAAGATTAGTTTAAAGTTTAATTTTCAAATTAACAATTTTATTATGATTACTTTTGTAAACTATAGTGTGGAACTATACACTACTTTTGATGGCTAAGAGTAGTTAAGAATTTGTAAGACATGTGCTCACAGAAATCTTTGATGCTGAAAATAATTTAAAATTGCTAAAAAATTTGTTAAATCTGTGTTAAAAAATGTTGTAGACTTGCTGAAAATAAAAAATATTGAAATAATAATTATTATTACTTAATGATTAATAATTTCATTATTGTCATTAGTATAATTATGTTCTAAGTTTTGGTTCTCTTCTTATCAATATCATAAAACTATAAAGGGTATAAAAGCCAGAAATTTAAAAAAAGGTCAAATTATATATTATATATGCATATAGTAAAAAGATAATGTATCAGTAATTGTTCAAGTTTTTGATTCGAAAATTATATAAGATTAAATTTCAATAATAATAATAAAAACTAAAAATAAAATTGAATTAAAAATGATTTAACAGATTAAAATTATATTAATTATAACTGATTAACTGATTCATAAATACACAATCAGTTTATTAATTTATCATAGAATAATAGCAAAAAAGCTTGATACTTAAATATACTTATTTAAAATATTATTATCTATATAGCTTAATACCAACATTTTTGAATTGAATACTAAGTTGCCTGACAAAATAGAGTTTAAAATGAAGATTTTCGTAATTTCGTATATCCACTTTTCAGACTACTCACTACTTACGAACGTAGAGTGTAAAATGTTTGTGAGGATTTAGTTCTAAAGCAATCCAAAAACCATATTCGGATAAACATATAAGAATACTGACCGATTTCTAGGTCTAAATAAATATTAATCACTGTTTTTTAAACTAGACACATTCTTAAAACCTACTAAGACTATGTTGACATCCACAGATTTCATCAAATGCAGGATGAAACATCCGTTGAACGTAATCAATATATTAATTTGGATTTCGCGAAGTGAATAAGGTCTAGTATCTTAAACCAATAGATGTTATAAATATTATTAATAGCCCAAATTTGTGTTCAAATTACTTTAGGGAACTTTTTCCAATAGTAACATAATAAATCGAATAACTAAATACATCAGTTATTTGTTATATATTGAAAGTTTTGCTAAACGAATAACGACATATTCACCAATTTTGCTCGGTTAGGAAAACTATTCATTTTAAATACCTTCCTTTATTCGAAAAATGAAAACAAAAATTTTAAGCTTTAGCATTTTTGCACAGTCACTTTTAATGAACGTCAGTTTAATAAAGCTTTAACTATAATTTTTACTAAACATCACTGACATCGAATGCCACAATGTGAGACTTGAACCCACTAAAATCACCTCTTTGGAATGAACGGAGAAGATTTCCACAACATTGAGAAAACTTCTTTCCAGTAATCTGGGGAGAAAGATGAGTACAGATAGGCTTAATACCTAGGTTCACGAAAGTCGCTGTTATAAAAGGGAATGGTGTAGATATTACGGTTGCACTCATCGAAGACCGTAATCAAGTATTGGGGGATGGGTTTGCCTATTGAATGATTATATTTTTTTTATTAACACGAAATTGCACTTTTTCAAGGAAATGAGTATCTTCGCTATGTATAGAAAAAAAGCACACAAAATAACTTGTATCTGAGCAAATAATTCTAAACAAAAGAAATACCTCAAATATTAAAATTTTAAATAATTAAGCATTATTTAAGCAAGCAACAAGCACAACATAAACCTCCTCCAAATTAAAAGCAATATTAAAACAACAATAACAACAAACAGACAACAAAAAAAAAAAAAGAAACAATGAGATATCCGCACAATAAACACAAATTGTTATTTGATTGTTGTGATTATAAAACCATTAAAAGTATTTACATGCAGATTAGATACTTTGGTGAAAAATGAATGACATCTCCAGTTGCGATTGCAAACACCATTTTTCATTTGTTTATTTTTGTATTAGCAAATAGAATTTGTAATTTCTATTTCAATAGAATTGCTAAATTTTGGAGGTGGCCACTTAAGAACCACTTGAAAAAAAGCATTTACGGATTTATATAGTATAAATGTTGAAATCTTTAAATTTAGCATTCAGCTTGAATGAACCGAAGGAATCCATAAATATAAATATATTTTTCCTTGGTTATTGTTATTTGCTTATATTTGTACAGTTTCCAGAACCAGAAAAGCGAACACATGCAAATACGATTAAGTAAACAAATCTCATTTAAAATTCATAGCACTTTTGTGTACCAAAAATAATAACAAAACAAAGTACTAATATAATATATACTAATATATACTAATATAATATATTTACACGGATATTTTGTATATTTGTGTATTTTGTATGAAATTTTACATATGAAAGCGCTGAAAAAGTACAGATTTTAATATTTCAAAACATATGTACAATGTATTGGGCGGATGTTGCGGTTGACCTCAACCTTCCAAAGGTTTCGTTCAAAAAGACAAACACCAGGAAAAAAGTGTACACAAAATATTCAAAATACAAATTGTGGTGCACAAATGAAATGGATTGTATTCCGACAATAGGTGAAGTGTCATTTCAAATTTAATAAATTGCGTCTTCCTTTAATATTTTTTTTTATTTTTTCACTTAGTTTTGAAATAAAATTAATACGCATCGATTAGATTAAATAGAGCAGAAAATTTCAGAGATTTTTCACAATTCCAAAAAAAATATATGAATTAAACAAAGAATAACATTTTCATATATACATGCTCTTATATACGAGTACTCAGTATTTATATAATCATTCCAGAACTATTTAACTGTTTTATATAGTATTGAGTAAACGTTATAAATGTGTATTTCTTAAAGATTTAACTAGTCAACTTCTAAGCTATAATTCTGCACTGTTTTATTAATAGGATGTGAGTATGCTGAAAAGAGTTTATCAACTATTTATTCATAATAATCAGACGATTAATACACAGAGAAGAAGTCAGTGGCGGTGCTAGACCAACTCTGGACGTCGGCGACATTAGAATTACGAGGCCCCCTGTTAACCCATTTGTAAAAGAAAATAAGTTACATTTACTAATATGACAAAGCATGATTGAAAGTTTTATTGCTTAATCAAATTAAAATAAACACAAATTAAAATAAATGAATTTTCCTACTTTTAGCTTCACTCAATTTTTTTTTAAATTATATCATAGTTTGCGCCAGCTGCTATTTTCGCTTCAGTTTATAGAAATTCGAATGGAGATAGTCTCTTTTGTATCATCATACTTTTCTAGTACGTCTTAATCAATTTTAAATTTGTAAAGCTTCTTTCCGTCGCAACTATACTGAACTATGAACATGAATCTGGTTACTATATAAACATTTGGAAATATTTCGAATATGGCTAATGCCATTATCAAACCAAATTGTTCAAAATATTTATTAATTGTTTAGAATCCACAGTCGGTAACTTTATGCGAGGCCCCTGCGGGCGCGAGGACGTCGGCGATCGCCGACATCGCTGACGCCTAGCGACGCCACTGGAAGAAGTCTACTGCTAACATATGTATAAGTAATTAATTTTCAATTAAAAATCTTTTATGAAAAATTTTCTATCAAAATATGTATATCTTATAAAAAGATACATTTCGTGTCCCTGATTTGACAGCAGTCTTTCAGTGGCAAATGTGAAATAAAACAGTCCTACAAGGCACCATGTGTTTAATTTACGGCTTTGCATAATACAACATAGATCGTTCAACAACCGTTAAACATGTTTAAATCAGGTAGGTACATTTCCCATATCTTTTCTTCAATGCTAAAGCTCATTAGTCTGAAAGAAAAAAATTACGGCTGTATACGGTGTATTTTATGGAAACATTCTGTAAAGTGTAAAAATGTTGCAGACAGTTAATTATTCTTAAAAACCAAAAATCAGTAGGAATCATCTTCCAACTTCAAAGGATGTTCCCAAAAATAAAATATATATATCTTTAATAATCATGTTTTATTATGTATGTATATATCAGGCTTATCATACGACCCTTGCATTTGATCATTTTGCAATATTCCAACTTCTAAAACTCATAAAATCTTCAAAATGCTTAAACAATGTACATCACTGAGATACATATTTTATTACAAACCGACAGCCCTTAATAAATTTCTTTTCTTTTATATTTTTAAGTGTTTCAGCCGGTTTCTAAGGACTACTTAATTACTTAAAAACATGTGGCAAAACAGGCAGAAAAAATGTTTCCAAAAAAGTATTTTTAACAACTTTCTTTTAATTGCGTAGCAAAAATTTCTCTCTCCTAAAGTGTAACAAGTGTTTCCTAGAAAATTATTAGATAATTTCTGTTTTGTTGAACAACTAAGAATCATGGGTTTTTACCAATTATCCGTGCATAAAATTTAAACAAACACAAAAACGTGCGCATTTCACATCTGATATGATTATTTGAGCTCATCACGGGCTCATTGTCTTCACATTGGTACGCAAAATGTATACACGAGTATCGGTGCCGTTTGCCGTTTGCCATTATTTATTACTTTTCCTTTGAAAATTTGATACTTGTCACTTGTCATAATTTTGTATGTTAACTATATCATTCGAAAGATACATATTCACACATATTTTTTTATAGTCGTCACAACATAACGTCAGACATTACGATTTGCTATATTTGTTGAAGTGGCGTGGCATCCACATTACTTCTTCATAATTAAAAAAAGAAAAAAATCATATAATTATATTTAAAACAAAAACCATTAAAAATAAATAAAACCGTTTCCGTTTAATTGTTGATTACTCACATATCCCAAACGAGAGTTTTTCTCTTTCATTAAGGCAATAATTAAGGCAATTTTTAATAAATTTAAAAATATTTAAAACGGCATTGAATTATTGTTATCATATGAAATTCTTTCGCGTAAATATTGAGATTTCTTCGAAACTGAGCTGTATTTTTAATTAGATTCTTATATCATTTCAATTAATGGTGCTGTGGTGATGCACTGAAAAGTTCTCTACTCGTCGTTCCATTGACACAACACAACAATCCTTCGCTTCTGTCATAGTCATATTACATCACTTGAATGAAAAGCTTCGACATTACCATCGGATTGCCATATTTAAATTGCCATTATTGTTTGCTTATGCTGGGATTTATTGTGTCAAATTAATTTCATGTAAACAATTCTAGGAAAACTGAGAGTGTTAAAATAGATTAATTTTTGATTTTGTTATTAAATGGATTTTTTTTTCAGAATTAATTTTTGTGACAACAAAACGAAAAGTTGCTACTTAATCTTTGATTACAAGAACAAAGACAAATACCCAAATTACTCACAGACATAAGTAGAGTTACCTATTTTCTATGCAATATTTATTACAATATGACAACTTACAAATCATTAATATCTTGATAGTATACATCAGGTCTATCCAAAGCACAGCCCGCGGGCAACATGCGGCCCGTGACGAGTTTTTAATCTACCACAATTACACAAATTTTCTTTTGGTGTACTGATAAAACTACATTATTTTAGTTTTATAGTATACCAAATAAATGAAGTTAAATTAATAAATTAAAAAACTAAATTTAACATTATAAACGAATTTTTATTTTTGTCGAAAACAACTATGAACGTATATATTTGTTTCTGCGACCCTCCAATTTATACAGTGATTTGTATTGACCCGCGATCGCATCTGGTCTGGACCGCCCTGGTATACATAAATGAAACTCCAATATTATTGAATTGGGTATATAAAATATAATACATTTAATAGTGTTTATTAAATTGTTACGAAGAGAAATTTCGTAATGTACAAAAATAGACAGAATGAAAATGTTTATTTAAAAATCAAAACTCTAAAAAAATTTTCATTAAACTGCAAATATTTTGCATGAGGGCTATAAATACATTATG